TTAGTTTAAAATGGAGTAGCATAAGTGGTTGTGACTAATCGATTTAAGAGAAGTAAAATAAAAAGCTGATATCTGTAACAAAATTAATTTAGTTGGAATTTAAACATAAATTAAAGTTGTTGTTTTAATTAGAGAACAAATTTATACTGTTAAGTACCATGTGGAGAGTATTTAGAACAACATTTGAAGTTTTGTTTTAAAGACTAATTTGAATTTAAAAATGTGTGTAATGAAGTTTAGTTTATATATTCTTCTTATTTGTCTTTTGGTAAGAAACTTTTTCTAACAGTAGAACATATTAGGAAATGAAGAAATACATTTATATATTTTGTCTGAAAATTAAAACGAAAATAAAAAACAGTATGTAAATGAAATCGAAAATTGGCATAAATCCCCTTATAAATTGTAATAGTGCTGAATCATAGATGACAATTATTTTTACATTTTAATTTTATTGTATGACAATTATTTTATACCACTGTGGTGTATTTCAGATTTTCTGCAATTATTTACTCTACATTTATCTCATATTTTATTATTGTAATTCATTAGTGTTGTGTTTGTTTGATTAAAGAAACACACAACTTTATTAGCTAGATTCCTATGTTTTAGGTAAACTTACTTAATACAATTATTATTTATTTATTAACTTTCTAAAAAAATCTACATTTTATTATATATTAATTTTGTTTGTGTTTTCATGAATTTCATATTAAATTCCCTCAGCTTGCATTTTGTGTCACAAATAAGAGGAAAGTCCACGAATTTTGTGGTTTTAATTAATTAATTAATTTATTTATTTATTTATTGTATTTTTAGGTCATATCATGTATTTTGAGTTATATTCTATATTTTCATTATTTTTTATATTTATCTTTTTATTTTAAAATGATTCTTTAGTCTCGTTTGATTGTGTTTTATTCATTAGATGTGGTTTCATTAGTTCGCGCGGGATTGCTACTTTTGGGATAAACCATTTGTTGTGTTCAAATTGTAGCTGAAAATAGCAAATATTATTTCATGAGTAACTGCAGATTTTGGCCATAAGAACCAAGAATTCTTGGAGTAATGGTAATGAGAGTGCTGTAGGTTTCTGCAAGCCATTGCCTATTGCAGCTTAACTTCTTTCTCAGTTACCCATTCTAATGTTGGTATAAGTTATATCAAAGATGTGTTCCTTGCTATTTCACGATTGTTATGTGCTAGATAAATCATCTGTTTAACCAACCAAAAAAGTATTATAATAACTATAATTTTTAATGAAAGTTCTAGAGGGGACATTATTTAAAGTTACTGGAAATTTAATATATAACATATATCACAAAAGCAAAATGTTACTACGAAACAGAACCAAAACGAAGAGAAATGTTTAAACTTTATGGTGGACTAAGTGTCCTAAGTCCTAACCCTTATTTGGAAAACATAATGTGAGTGCAGTGACTGCATGCATGGGAAGAAACAATATATTTGTTTCTCTATAGTGCTCCATGCTGGAAACTAAGCTTTGCGTGCCTTCTTGGATAGGTTTTTTGGTGGCGATCCTTGTGGATCATTAACATTCTCACTATTGGACTCCACCTGGTCGGTGTATGACGCTGCTTGCACAGCACTTGCTGGTCCAATGGTCTGGTCTTTAGCTTCAGGAGGATGAGTGTATCTGTGGGAGGAGTCACAACACAATACTTGCAAGCACATCTTGCTCCAGCCATATAATTGCCAGGATTGTTTCCCTAAACCCTTTAGAAAAACAGTTAAAATTGTAAGTAGTTTGCTATTTAATATGACCCAGGAGGCGAGAAAGAATTTGTTATGACTTACATGCAGTGCAAAGATGGGCCCTGTGATTCTCTGATTGGGGAGATGTACTTGGCAATTGGACCTTTTTATTTGCCAAAACCATCAGGGAACAGCTCTAGGTGCAAATAAACAATGCACGCCTTCAATGCAAACGTAGAAGAAGTGTTAAAAATGAAAAAAAAAATGTGGGATTGATGTGTTACCTAAACGGTTCAGTGAACATGTCGTACAAACGTAGAGGATATGCACCATACTCTGAAACAACATCACCAGTATCGACAAGCCTTCCTCTGCTAAGATCTTCTTTTCGAAATAAATGATCTCGAGACTTCATAACCTATATACCATTAAAGAACTTCCAGAAGAGTGAAAATCGGTTTTAGTTAGTTAATGAGAAAGAAGAAGAATCATACTTCATCTCCAGAGATTCATTTAACCGTATCTTCAGTATCTGCAGATTCATAGTTTAGTTCTTGGTTCTTTGAGGCTGTATAATGACATCCCCAAAGATGATTCCTTGATTCATAACACACGTGAAGGGTTCTTTAGTCATCAATGTCATATAGTAATGCGATGATGCATGATCTGCAGTTTTGATCAAGAGAAATCTAAATGAAAGTTCTTTAAAAGGACAATACCTTGTGTGAAAACCTAGTAAGCGTAAAACATCATGCTTGGTACCACTGACATATACATCTACTGGAGTCCAATATCTGCCACAAAAAGAAAACTCTTATAAGAATCTTCCTGAAAGCAACAAAATGTTACTTAAATTGAAGGTAAAATTATTGCATTATGTTAAAGGCTCTCACTTTTCCTTTTCCATGTCAACGAATGCTTCAAGTTTTTTTTTTTTAGGTCCAGGAATCTCAGATAGTACTAAGAGAAAAAAGACTATCATGAACAAAATGTAGCAGAAAATCACAACCTTGATGATCAGAATAAGAAGAAAACGTTAAACAACCTTAACTAAATTCAAGAAAGTATATAAACATAAAAAATCACTTTGAGTGTTCACTAACATGTATCTTGACACTTTATTGTGTTGCCTTTGATTCTAAATAGTAACACTAACACCTTTTGCAGTGGCTGCACATTCTTATGACTGAATAGATTATCAGTAGAAACGCTATTAGTCTCAATATAAAAAGAAAAATGTATAGGAGACGGAAATTAAGAACATACATACCCTCCCAAGGGTAGACAGTCCAACATCATGGTATTGCTGCATATAGCTTTGAAAAAAAACCAAGTTACATCAATCTCTGTCAATACCAAACTACAGAGGCTATAACATAAGTACTAACTACACCAACAAAAGCTAACACCTTTGGAACTGTAGAACGCACAAAGAGCTTTACAACGGGGGTTTCACATATTATTACATCCTAGATAGAGTAAAAAATGAGCTTTTTGAGTGGAAAAGAGTAATACAGATTTTTACAGACAATTACATCCTAGATAGAAACATATCATGGTGTTCAAATTAATAGATAAAACAAAATCCTGAAGTGAACCCAAAAATCTCTGCTTCGTCTGAATAAAACTGACCTTAAGAGCATTCAGAAGGACTGCTCAGTTCCTCGAGTGAAGAGCTATGAAGCAAACCACAAAATAGATTAGCATCAACAAATCTATATGATAATTGATAACAAAGGAATCAGAAGTCAAAAAACACAAAGAGATATACTACTTTTTTTTGTTTTTTGTCGAAGGTGTGAAGTTCATGACTCGCTGAGGGGTTATATACATAGTCCTCGCTCTTCTCAGCCTCTCTGGGAATTCAAGAAGCCGGATTGAATGCAGCGGAGTGGGATAAACACGTTTAACAGAGGAGTTAAGGAGATCAATACAAAACGATGTAACGCTCGCCTCTGATAATTGATGGTTTCTTACTCTGCAAAACATTCGGTGAAGGAGGGAGGAAGTGCAAAACCCTATATCTACGGAGTAACCATAAACGGGCCTCAATGTTTCCTCAACCCAATTACTGATGATTGATCAATTAAAAACCCACGAAGGCCCAGGATTAAGGGTGGACACGTGGAATAAAATGCCCCATGCTTTGTTGCTGAGGTGGATGCGGGAGAAAGGAGAAAAGTCTCCTTTATTATATAAGATATTTTTGGAAATTTTTGAAAAGGAAACTAAATAAAAGAATTAATAATACTATTTTTAACTATATTTAATTCATTAAGAGTATCAGTGTAATCAACCATCGAGGGAGTGAACGTGAGAGCGACACATATGAAACTAACTTCTAAAATAATATTATAGAGATACCTTGTAATCCCTTTTGGAGAGGTGGTCTTATTTTCTCTAAAAACAACACATTTGGGAAAATTGAATCCTTGATTAATCTAAGGTTTTGTTCTTAATTAAATTTAATTTATCTCATCTTTTAATCATGATTGGTCTTCTATCCATCATGGGTTCAGGATTAAACATGAAGATTAGTGATTATATTTTCTTTTGAGTTTATGGATTAGGGCGATTAGGGTGATTAGGATGATTAAGTAATGATCTAGGATGATTAGTGTTAGATCTTTATATTCATATGCTTATTACTTAATACCAATACTAGAGTAGAGATAACCCTTCTATTCTAGATCATCAGGCATTTCATGCCCACAAAGTGTATGATGAAATGCCTGAGTCAAAGTAATAATGCTTTTTACTTGCTTAACCAATGACACTTGATGTTAGGGATGTTTAGATGGTTAGTAGACTTGTTCTCAATACTTACTTGTTTGATTTAGAACAAGGACAATTGATGTTTAGAGATTGATAAATGAGCTTTTGCCTTAACAAAGGACAAGCTTAGGATTATGTCTATACCTAGAGGATATGATTGATTGTTTAAAACCTTACCCTAGAGAGTAGCTTCGTTACCCAAAGTCAATACAATTATCCATATGATATTTTGTCTCATTGAAACCAAAGCTTAATTATTCTTGTTTACTTACATTTCTAGTTACATTGTTACCTATAAAACAAAATCTTTTGATTGCATTTATATTTAGCAATGTCTTGTATTCTCTTTGTTCATTAACACTCAGGATTAGATTGAAATCTAAAATATTACATTTATTTGTTTTAAGGCTTAAAAACCTTTATCAGCTCTTTACCCGGATCTTCTTAGATCCATTTACCTTCTTCTTCAAGAACAAGAATAAAAATCAACACAAGAACTTATTATGAACAGACGTACGGATAAACTTTATTAGTCACAAAGAATCAATAACAGAAGCTAAACAAAGGTGACATATCCAAGACAGAAATATGAAGATAGTTCCATAAAATAAAAACATATAATCTACCTAGCCCTTGGGCTGACTTCAGTAGCAATGGTCAAGCTCACTTCTCTAGAACTCTTCGATTCCATATCCGTACTTGGTCCTCTCCTTGAATTTTCAGATGCAAGACACTCATTCAATCCAATAACAACTTGAGACATGGTAGGTCTTCTTACTGAAGAAGGATTCAAACAGCAAATTGCTAGTTCCACAGCTTTCCACACAGAACCAGAATCATAATCTCCATTTAGTGTTGGATCCATAATGCTGATGATGTCTCCTTTTGTAATCATGAATGCCACCCATTCTGCTATATGTGACTTTTCACGGCTTTGGTCAATCACTGGTTGGTTTGTGATGATCTCCAACAATACAATCCCAAAACTATAAACATCACTCTTTTCTGTTAACCAATTTGTTCTGTAGTATCTGGAAATAAAATACATGATGGATTTTTTCATATTTATTGGACACTAATCAAAGACTAATGAGTATTTCCTAAATGGCAATACTTACTCAGGATCAAGATATCCAGGAGTTCCAGCAACAACAGTTGACACATGAGTTTCACCTTCGTTCGGGAATGATCTTGAAAGCCCAAAGTCAGCAAGTTTAGCCTGGAAGTGTTCATTTAACAATATATTTGTTGTTTTGACATCTCTATGAACCATTGGTGGTTTGCATCCATTATGTAAGTATTCAAGTCCTAGTACACAAACAGTCATTTTATAAGTGACAGAAGATGAAAGAATATAAACATGCAATGGAAAATTTGTGGGTAACCTCCAAACTAACCTTGTGCCGATTCAACAAGTATTTTAAGTCGAGTTCCCCAATTCAAAATAAAGCGGTTTTGTGTTCCTGTGTTTTGGAAGAACATATTGATATCAAAGCCTTATGTTATACATAGACAAAAATAAGACATTCCATTAGCTTTTTTGTTCTTTACCTGACATATGTTCCTTTAAATCTCCATTGGACATGTATTCATAGATAAGAGCTAAGTTTTCTCCTTCGTCACAATACCCAACAAGAGCGACCAAGTTCTTGTGATGAACTCTAAGAAGAAGTTCTACCTAAACACCAAGCCATAATTCCGAAGTATAAGTTTCAAACAGTCGAATCTTTACATGTCTCGGTTCGAGATACCAATGATGGTGTGAAGTTACCTCAGCTTTAAATTGTTTATATCCTTGAGATGATGAATGAGAGAGCATCTTAACTGCTACTTGTTCTGTACCGTTCACAAAACCATGATAAACAATTCCAAACCCTCCTTTCCCAAGAGTCCTTTGGAAGTTGTTTGTCATTGTCATAACCTCTGAGTAAGTAAACCTTTTATTGTTTGTCATTATTGCTGGTTCTGATGATCTAGGGGATCTACCGTCTGGTGTTTGCATATATGATGGTTGTGGCCCTATGATTACAAGGAAGAAAGTCTAGACTTAGTTAAGTTGGATATGTGTACGTATGTTGTGCCATTACTCTAGACTTTATTTATCAGTACCTTCAACTTTTGACGCTTTTATTTTTCTGAAAACAAGGAACAGGATGAGTGCACCTACAATAACAGCTAGTGACGCAATCGATGCAACCACTGGTACAAGGATACTCTTTTTTTTATGTCCATCCTCTCCTTTGTTCACACATAAACCAGCTGTGCAAAGAAGGTGAGGGTTTCCTTCAACACTGAAAAATTTGAGTGTTGTTTAGATACCAAATAGTATAATAATTGATAATCGTAATATAAATATCTTACTTTAACTTCATTCCTTTTTTCTGAAGAAGTGAGGGAGGAACCGAGCCAGTGAAGTTGTTACCACTAAAGTCTCTGTTGGAAGAGGTAAAGCGTCAAAACATAAGCAATCATGTTTAGGAGAAAGCTTAGCCAAAATAAAGTTTCAAAATTGTAGTGTTACGTGAGAGACTTACATGACCAAGAGTGATATTATGTCTGCTAGAAATTCAGGTATTTCTCCAGTCAAATTGTTATTTGATAGGTCTCTAAAATTAACAAAGTATAAAGAACCATCAAATGTGATTCATTTTCAAAGGCTAAACATACTTTAGGTTTATCAGCTGTGGAGATACTTACAAATTTTGTAAGTGAGTAAGATTTTGAATGGCTGGCGTGATGGTCCCATTTAATCCACTTGAAGATAAGTCTCTGGATTCAACAATGTGAAATATCAAGTTCAAAATTGTCAAAAAAATTTAGAAGTAAGTAAATTATTATTGAATGATTCATCTTACAAAGAAGTAATTATTGGTGGCATAGAAGTATCCGAGATATTGCAGTTTATACCATCCCACAAAAATTGTTTGGGCACACATGGATCTCCTTGCCAACTGATTCTGTTCAATCCATATATGTCTTGAACATTTTTTAGACCGGCAACTGCAGTTGTTAAGCTTCATGATATCAAATACATATAACCCAAAAGCATATGTGTTTCCTCTTAACAGGAAATACAAGATATTTAAAATATAAGAATATAAAATTGGCTTACCATCATCTCTATTTGTCTCCATTTGTGGGAAATCAATCACGGTGAAAGCTTCCATAGCGTTAAGTAGAGGCGGAAGAGTTGATTTTGACGTCTTCAAAAGCTGCAAAATGCATACCCCTCCATCACATTGCTCTGGGTTCAAGTCAAGCACAGTCTCAGTTTTAAAAGGTTTAGGAGTGTAAGGTCCATACGAGTATTTTCCATTCAGTGTCACATTTAATTCCCTTGTATCGCTGGCCCGTAATGTCTGGATCTCTGCAAAGTGCATGTAGGAGTAAAACTGTGTAGTAGGAGTCTCTAAAGACCATGTAATGTTCAAGGTCGCATTAGGGTTCAAAGGCATGGCCGCCGTTGCCATCACACCTTTTGGTACTTCATAGATAGTAGAAGTGTTTACATTGAGAGTCGTAGTTATTGGTGCCCATGAGTTCTCCAAGAAGACCGGGTACCATTTACGATCATATACATCATCTGGATACCTGTCACAATGTAGATCACAACTAATCTGACCTTGTTGCCCAAAAAACTAATCCGACATATTTATTCAATTTTTTCCAAATACAAAAAGATACTAACATGTGAAATGTTCTTTGATCTATTTTCCAGTAGTCCAACTCTTTTTGTAAAGAACATTTTTGCAAACTTTAAACATAAACGCAAAATGCAAATGTATTTATCTTTGCAGTTTGGCTTTCGCATTTTACAAAAAAAAAAAGATCGTATTTGTAATACAGCTAAACAGATTTTTTTTATTTGAATGATATAAAGTATAGTAAATTTCTTAAATAACAATAAAACATGTTTAATGACAAAATTAACACATAAGGAAAAATAATTCTCAATATTTAATTTATATTTGGTTTTAGTAATTAGGATTTAAGAGAGTAGAGGAGAGATTAAGGTTTAGGAATAAGAGAAATTTTGAATTGCTATTTTGATTAAAAAAATAATTAAAAATTCTATTTTAGAAATTTGTCCCAAAATATGTTATAACCAGAGGGTAAATGCAAATGCAAACAATTACAAAGACATGTTTAGTATCCTACTAAGAAACTCCCAAGAGCAAGAAGTATTTGAAAGAATGGCCATAGGAATGGGCGCATCATGACATTGTGAGAAAAAAGTAAACAGAAAAGAGTAAATAAGAAGTGAAAAGGACAGAAATACGTCCCAACCATAAAAAAAAGTTTGGTCCAGCGTAAGCTTGACGTTAATGGGAATTTAGAGGAATAACTTGACTGTAAAGCAAAGTTTAAATAACTCGTGAACCTTCTACTCTCTTTTATCAGTATCATTTCGTTTGAAAATGGGAGGTATTTCTTACTAGAGTTCTTGTCTAGAGTTCTTGTCTAGAGAGGAACAAGAGTGTTTCTAAAAGGAGAGAGTTAACAACAAAGTTTTGATCAGTTCTTACCGTATAGTACGTCCTGAATTGCTAAAATATGCCCTGAACAAGTACTGTAGTGAGCCGCTTTGAGTAACGTACACATTTTTTCTCAATGGTCGTAGCTCCAAAATATTGATAAATGGTATACTTGTTCCTGTCTTAACAAGACATACCTGTAACAAACTGGATTTCGTGACATGGATGATCTCCTCTATAGTATCATTACTATTCACCGTTGTCCAAAAATTTGGACCAAAGTACAGGTCGAAATCCGGGTCGGCACTAAGACCATCGTAATTTCCATACACGAATGTGGCCTTGATCATATAGTTGGTGTCGCTGGTCACATTTAGATTGTAGCAGTTTCGTACTCCTTCTGGAAAATATCTCAACGTCAATGTCGGCTTATTGTAGTCCGTTTCAAATTGTTTGGCGATTCTACCGGTTTTCCCACTGTTAACTAAACCGGTATCTGATGTATACGTTAAACCGGTAGAGAGTGCGTATGGAGACTCGCGAGGAGATAAACCGCAATCCACACTAATGAACCCTAATAAGAAATACATGAAAAGAATATCTTGCAATCTAAGAACGTTGAAGAAGAAGACATATATCAAAATAATATAAAATAGCAAATTTGTACATACCAGTTTGATTTTGAGCTTGAGCAATATGAAGTATTTGCAATAAAATGGCAAAATACACGCAGTATCTCTCCATTGATTTCCTTGCTGTCCAAAGGTGAGAATCTTCTTTTTCGTTAACAAAACGATATGCATATGAGTTTATTATATGAGGCAATTCTCAAAAGTCT